AGCCAGCAGCCGCAGTGAACAGCCGTCCAGAAGCCGGCAATTGATCTGCCTTGCCCGGGAAGAGCGCAATGATGGTGCCAACTTTGGCCAGTGAAGCAACGTCCTCCACAACTAGACTGAAGAACAAAACGACAACAACTTGTCTGTGCCCCTTCCCCAAATTCCCCACTGCTGTTCCCATCCCCCAATTCCCCAATAAAAATCTTCAAAAAAAAAAAAAAAGGAAAAGAAAAACTACTGTAAGGTTTTATTCTACGCAAAAACTTCCTGTTTGACTTGAAGAAATTATTTTATTTTGTTGGTCTATACATATATTTTTAAAATTGGATAAGAAAATCAGGATAAACATAATCACCTTACATAAAGCATCTCTGTAAGGATTAACACCCTTAGATTTTTAAAACAGGGGCGTTTTACCCATTCAAGAAAATTGCTGTCATTATTCTTTATGAATTTAAATGAGTATAAATCCGTTTTTCCGATCCTGTCTCTTTTCACTTTAATGTTCACTTTCTAACACTTAATTTTTTCTTCCAATTTCCTAAATGGCACCATGCCTCAAGTTCCACCCTTCTTGGATCACATATTTTATATAGAACATGTCTAGTAACTAACATTACCATGCGCTCACAGGACCACAAGCTTAGACCTGTTATACTGCTGGCATTTTGCACTTTTCCTGTCATTTTCAGTTTTCAACTTGGCCATGACACAATTAAAGTGGATGTAAATATTAAAAAGAAGTTGAGTACACCTAAAAAGTCATTCTTGGTTTTATTGTTTGTTTGTTTGAATCTGGGAAGGAGTGAGGTGGAAGTAAGGATACTTCAGAAAAGCAGATAATCTGCAACTGAGGATAGAAAAAAAAAATGGCTCCTCAGTTGTTTCTGGGCAAGTGAGGATTCTACCAGGTACTCTAGAAGAAAACAAACACCGCCTCCCTATAGCACCTTCTTCCCTCCCATCCCCACACCTTGATTTACCCCCTCCCCCCAAAAAACTTCCAGTGTGAAAGCTGACACTGCAGGGGTCTGCAGTGTTGGGGACCTGGCCTTAACTAATGGGACAACTACTATGGCTGGTGGCATTCTTCTCTCAACACGGTGCAGCCTTCCAGTCCCTCTACCGCAGGACGCGTAGGAGTGCAGGGCAGCACACCTCTGCTCTTCTGTGATCATTGGTGACATCTGCAAATGCCTGCTGAAAGAAACACAGAGCCCCCCTGTTTTTTAGTGTCCCTACCACATTCCTCTCTTAAAGTTCATTCTACCATCCTAAAGTGGGCAATCACTTTATGTAATTTAAAAGATAACATTCCTTTGGTATACAAAGATAACATTCCTTTGGCTCGACTAAAGGGCATCTCAAAAAAATTTCTTTTAACAACAAAATATTAGTGCTGAAAAAGATAAGCATGCATAATAGCTGGAGATTAAAAGTTAAGATTAAGATATCACATTACAGACATCAAACAACTCTTCAGTGCAAACAGAACTAAAATCAAACAAAAAAACCTGCGTGCCCAATTAGACAAAGCTGCTTTACCAAAGCACACGCCTCTAAATCAAATTTCCCTTAGAGCACGCTTTAAAAGTATCAGAGTTAATTTTTTCCCAAATACGAGTTCAAAGTAAGTTATCTAAAAACGAACATTGCCACGAAAGAGACCTCCAGGGCGCAATAAATAGATACAGCTCTTCAAGCACGGAAATAGCATCATGACCCATTCTGTTGATGGAGATTGCAGTGCGAAGACTGTTTACAAGCCAGAAGCCAGAGAGCCCACCGTAAAATAGTTTAATAGGGGAAATCGACAAAAGACAGGAAATTACTTTTAAAGCTTTGGAGGTTGTCTCCGAGGCCAACCAAAGCGACTTATCAGGACTGACTTTTGCCCCGACCTCATGCAGAGAAACAGAGAGAATTGACCGGGCGAGCCCCGCTGCGCAGTGCGCACTGCGGCCGGAAAGCGCAGGGCTGGCGCCAGCCACACTCAAAACATGCTTGGCTGCGGCAGCGCGCCGGGGCCGCGCGCCCTGCTCCGCGCCACTCCGCGCTCCGGGTTTCCGCGGCCGCCAGCACGGAGCGGGAGAGCCCGGCTGGGAGGGGAACCTCGGCGAGCTGTGTCCCGGGAGTCCCGAGAGCGCTCTTCCCCTCTGCGCAACCTTCCCGAGGCATCTGGCCCAAGGAAACGTGTTCCTGGGCTCTAGGCCGGCCAGGTTGGCTTGGAGCTGGAAGCCACGGCTCAGGCGTCACCGCCCAAGGCCTTCACCTAGCTCAAGCTTTCGATTGCCACAGATTCATGCAGCCGAGTTTCTCCTGGGCTTTGCCTCAAGTTCTTCCAAGTTAAAAACCCCACTTGCAACTAGGAGGATCTCTCTCCTGGCAGCGGAGATTTGTCAGTCTTAGAGCCCTTTTGCCACTGGAGATGCTCTTGCTGTCTTCAGAACCAAAAGGTTCCTCTGCAGTTTTCCTGGTGATGAGGTGTGTGAAGGCTCTTGGCAAACTGTAAAGCTCTCTTAAGAACACTGATTTTCACTGCCCTTTCAGAACGTCCCTTTCTTGGAAGTAAAATTCCCACCTGAAATTAAACCTTAGGAGGGGTTTTGTTCACTGGGCGACCTCCAAAGAATAGAACAGTGCCTACTAGTAGGTAGGTGGTCAATGGGTAATTGTTGAATGAAAGTACAAACATACACACTTGAATAAGCTGATCAGGTGGAGAACATTTGTGGCTTCTCCTTGCTTTCTTGGTAGGGAAGCGACCAGGCATTCACTGGGCGCAACTCTTTGCCAAGTCTTCTAGGCTTTGGCAGGCCACTGGGGAGCCTGGGAGCCTGGCGAATGTATGCCTCCTTCAAGGACACAGAAGGGGGTTTTATAAAATCACTTAGTTCAAGCCCTCAACCCCAGATTCCAAGGATAGTTGATTCCCTCCCCTCCACTCTCCACCCCCCCTCCCCAACCCAATATCCCACTCAAAGCCTATTCAATCGGTATTGAAGTGCATACAGAAGGCTCTTATTAAATGTTTGTTGATGGCTAGCATAATTTGCCTAAAGTCACTGGGGCAAGAAGCCTAGGCCCCAGCTCCTTTAAACACACATATCTCCAATGCCTTTCTGGGTCAGGCCCATCCTGGGCACTGTGGGTACTACAGGCTGGCTCTCAGTACTCCCAGCAAAGACCCCTGGGTAAAATGGCCCATGCAAGGTGCCCATCATCAGGGTTCCTTCACAGGGAGTCCGGTAGACAGGCTCATAGAGCCTGCTGGAAATGCTTCCTTTTGAAAAGGCGGTTGCTGCAGTTTTCTCCTTCACCTTACAGCCTGACAAAAGGTGGGCTGGGACCCTCTAGGATTGACTGAGGAGGGAAAAGCTGGCTCCACGTGTCCCTGGCCTCAGGCTTCACAGCCAGACTCAGTAACCGCGGGGCCTGCCGAGCCCAAGTCGCCCTCCCTCCCGCCCGCCTGTCCAGGTGTGGCTGCTCCGGTAGCCAGGCTCCCTTTTTTAGCTACTTTCCTTTTGAGTTTCTGCTAAAATCTGGAGACATGGAATCCACTCGCGGAAACTACGAGCTCCTTCAACTGAGCATGCGCCAATGCCAGGCTGCTTTTGGTCACCGGCTCCGGAGCTCTCCAAGCTGGGGCTGCGGAGCTGGAAGAGGCGGGGAAGGCGAACCGGTAGGGGGTGCCTGGCGAGGCAGCGGCTCGCGCGCCTGCGCATCCAGCTCCAGCGACCCCAGGTTTTCTATGGGATTCCCAATCTGCTGCAGAGACTTACCCAAGCGTGTTGCAGCGGCGGCTCGGCTTGAAAGGCGCGATCCAAGAGGGATTTAAGAAGCCTAGAGCTCCAGAGGAAAAAAGAAAAGAAAAAGAAAAAAAAAAAAAAGAGCGCGAGACAACCACGCACAGAGACGGCTTAACCGTTTATCCGAATTTTATATATATATATAAAGAACTGTTGAGTTTTATCATTTTCGTTAAGTGACCGTGCGCAGCGCTATAACTGTAAGTGGAAAATACAGTCTTCGTTGCATTTTTGCATGTATAGTGCAGCCAGTTGTCTGGGTGATGCTTTGGCTATTGTCACATACTTTGCATAGATGCGTCTACATGCATGGTGATAATTGCTTTGGTTAATGCTGGCGATCTGAATGTGCTGTCCATGAGGGACCTTTTGGAATAATGGGGGAGGAGAAAGAGGGAGTGTTTATATGCGTGTTTAGGGGGTTGTCAGGCTAGATTTAAGAAAGGTGAAAAAGAGGTGCTTTTTTAGTTTAAGTCTAGTCATAGGAGGCTTTCCTTACAGAGATTTAAGTTCTAATTAACCGATTGTGAAGTTTTCCGGTTGCTGATAAAACTATTGAGCGGTTGCAGTCAAGTCCCAACCTGTCATTTGTGGGGTTGGTGCACCATTTTTCTCACCGTGGAAGAGCAGTGAAGATGTTTGCTAAGTAAAACTGAGCGGAAGAGATAGTATGGGAATCAGGGTTGGTTTCCAAGCGGGATGTTCGTGTTTAGAACCACGGAGCTAGGCGCAAAAAAGGGCACGTTTCTCCCAGAATTGAGAAATGAGTAGATAATTTTTCGTTTTGATTTCTCGTCACGGTGGTGAATGGACAGAAAAAGGAAAGATATTGAACCGCACCGTCAGCCGTCTATTTTGAACAGTCTGAGACCCAGAGCGGCTGAATAACAGGGCGTCAGACCCAAACTAGTTGCCTACCTTTGCCTCCCGCATTCGCATTCCGGAATGCAGGGCTGGGAAATGTGAACCCAGACGTGTTCCATTCGGTCGTGTCTTTTTAGAGGAGAAAAGGTCGTTTTGTGTTTTGAGTTGAAATGGGTTGTTCCTTGCTCAGAAACAGAAGAGGGTCTTGGCAAGGTCAACCCCCGTGGAGCTCGAAGGTGCTGGTGAGTGGGGGGAGGGGGCGGCGGGAGGAAATAGTGATTGCTGGGTGCGAGTGCTCAGCCCTGCACGCACCGATCTGTGCCCTGTGAGATGCGAGAGCCGGAATCCATTTTTCTAGAGTTGCCCTCCTGTCCATATTTTGGGGACTAAAATGAAATGGAAATGCTGTGGGTGTAGAAAACACAAGTGTATACTATCTGGGTGTCACATCCCACGTTCAGACGAGAGGAGCAAGGAAGCTGTATGTCTACATATTTTTTTTTTAAGAAATTTCAGGTTGAGACAAATTAAAAAGGAAACTCCTGTGAAAACACATTTTATCTCCACTACCATCTAAAGTGCCTACATGTGTGAGTGGTGGGGGATGGGTCCTGCATCACTACCTCACTCAGGAGTGCATGCACGTTAAGCTGGGGTGTTTAATAACCCCAAGAAATGCTGCACGGAATCAGGTTGGCAGAATGGCATGAAGCAGGCAGACAAGACAAGAGCATGGCCAGTGTGTGCTGGATTTCCATGGAAAAAGCAGATAAAATTTCTGGGGTGAAAGGAAATACATTTTACCCCAAATAGGGCCGATCATTATAGGGCTCGTTGGCCTTTTAGTCAGTCCAACTATTTGGAACCCCGTAAAAGAATGTATAGTATACTTCAAGGGGTGAAATTTGAGATAGAAAATTTGAGAATATCTTCTCTTTGGAAACCCAAAGAATAAATCCTACTGCCTTCTCTGTTCATCCCTTCCTTACTCCAGGGTAGAAGGACCAGTCATTTGTCACAATTGAGCCATACTCCTTGTCATCACTGAGAGTTGGAATCAGCTTCATGAGTGGTGCAGGTGTTGCATTGCGTTGATAAATGGGGGGGGTGGGGGTGGAGGAAGAAGGGGGGCTCTGGTATTAAACTCATAGATGTTTCATCTCAGATACCCTGGTTCACAGGCTGGCAGTTACAGAGGGTCCCATCAGGCAGAGACTTTCAAAAGCATCTAGTCCCAACCCCTTGTTTTACAGATGAGGAATTGAGGCCCAGAGCCATGAGCTAGGGAGAAGTCAATTAACTTCTAGTCTACGGACTAAACAATTAAAAAGTAATGGTGAGTGGAAATGTTCCCTTCTGTCTGCACTTTAAGCATCCTCAGTGACACTGCTGAAATCTTCAGATAAACACTTCTCTGTTCCTAGCATGTCTTTCCAGAATCCCAAGGGTTCCTTTACATACCATGGCGCTTCTCTGCCTCTCCTTTCTTGTCATGTCTCTTTCTATTTCTTTTCTATCGTCCCTCACCTCTAATAGACCCACCTCCTTAGATGCTCAGTCTAGCCTTTCCAGCACCTCGGTCAATTTCTTCAGAATCCTTGGAGGTGTTTGAGAGACCTGGCTACATCAGAACCGTCCACTCCTGTTTGAGGACTGCCCAGGCCCACCTCCATCCACTCCGTGCTTTATTCCCAGAATCCTTCAGGGAACCCAGCCTTGAGAGATTCTGCAGGCACCAAGCTCACTCTTCTACTGACTTGTCTCCCCCTGAACTGCTGCAGCTACAGGGACTGGGACTTTGTGGACTGAGGAAGCTGCAGTGCAAACACACCCTGGGCTCTTCTGCCAGCTCATCTCTGGCTCCTAGAAGGCAGAACCCAAATCCAAGATGCCTGCCCGTCTTTGGCCTTCATGGAAATACTCCAGATGAAGCCACCTGCAGAGAAGGGGAGGGGGCTGGGCAGGAAGACCCAGGGAAGAGCGCTTGACTGGTTCAACCTGACCAGGCGCTACAGAGGCCAGCAGTGCATCTTTTCAAAGCTTTAGAGCTTTTAAAGCGCTTGCACAGCTTTCTTCCCTGTCTTGCCGGGCAGAGACTGCAACGCAGGCAGTAATACCTGCCTCATTGGTCCTTCTCTTTCCTCCTTTCTTTCTTCTTCTCCCTCACTTGCTTTCTCTATTTCTCCCTTTCTTTCATAAAAATTTCCTGAGTTCTTATACAGTAAAGCTCTAGGCTTTTTACAGATAGATAATCCAGGCCCTCTGGTTCCTTCTTCAACAATGTAATCTCCCAGGCGCTGGGACAGATAACCCAAACCACCACAAATGTCCCCTTGAGGGACATACCAGGAATTCTTCCCTGAAAAAGCGGAGGCTTTAGGGCAGGCTTGAGGAAGACTGCCTCTGAGTGAGTCTCTTTCTCATTTCAAAGAGTAGCTAATGGCCTTGGAAGTTGTTGAGGAAGCAAGGTGGTGAGTTTCTTAACACATTCACCAATTAACAATGTAATTTAACCCTTCTCCTCCTGGTAAACCTTTACTGAATTGGGATGAGCTCTGTCTTGGGTAAGAGTTTGTCCCTAACTAATAAATACTCATATGGCCAGATGTCACCTGGCCTTGCTAGCCCATTCTGGAAACAGGTATGTCTCGGCCGGCATCTGAACACCAGGTAGCTTCTGCAGACAGAGAGACTTGTAGCTGCTAAGTGCCCTGCTTTGATTTGCTGGGCTGCGAACCTCATTGTGTAATAGGATAGCTTGATTAGAAACGCCGTCCAGGGCAAGCTATAGGTTTTCTATTTGGGTTGCATGTAGGTATGGATTCCAAACATTGCTGAAGAGCTCCCTGAAGAGTTTCATAGAATGACAGTGTAACATCAATAACAAATACATGGTTTCCTAATTTACAAAACCAACATATTTTAATGTCATTCTAAGGACCTTTTTCTTTGTATTGAGCGATTTCTGTGTTCCTAAGATTAATGATTATTTAGGGAGACAGGAAGGTTCTTCTTACAAAAGGAATCACAGTCAGTTAATCTCAGGTTGAAATTGACGATGTTCATGTCAGTTACATTTAGTAGATATAGATATATGAATTTTCCTAAAGCATCACATGATAGAGATAAATTAATAAATGACTGATATTCCTACTATCCCAGTGGTTCATTCCTATAACTAAAAGAGTATATGAGCTGGATGGGGTCCACATGAATTACCTAATCCATCCTTCCAATACATAAAAAAAAATATTATGTTAAGGAACATTGTTATCTGAAAGACATATCTACAACATGAAAGCACAGTCCATAAGGGCAGAGATTTTAATGACCTTTTTTAGATTTCCACAATATCTGTACAATGTCTTCTATATGATAGTTGTCAATTAAATATTTGTCCTAACAAGAATCAGTTGTATACACCTTACTAATTATATCAAGAAATAAATCATTTCTACTAAAAGCATGTGCACAATTAACACTGTTTTAAACATCTTTATGTTACTGAAAAGAAAGCTAGACTAAAAATTATAATTTATTTTCAAGAAAGATATAAAAGCACTGTATTAATACCTTTAAGATGCTTTTTTAATCCACTCATATTAATATCCTCTCTTTTATCTCTTACTAAGTAAAAATATAAGTTGTTTTGATCAATTTTCAAGAATTGATATTAATAATTCAATGTCAGAATATAAGCCTAGGCTATGGTAGGTAGCTCTGGGTACCACTTATTTAGATCATGGGTCTCTAGAGCTATGGAATTATTTTAACATACTCACACTGTGAAGGGACCACAACACTGCATTTCTCATTTACAGTTTGTTTCTAAAGATAACTTATGCTCTTTTAAGTGAATCAAAATAGTCTGAGTTGCTCACAGCTTGATTCATTGAGACTTCACAAATGGGGATCTTGGGGGTGCTTTAAACTACCTAATGAATGAAACAGAAATGGCATAGGAAATCACTGAAGAATCCTCAAAGAGGTTTGACACTATAATAATAAGGTGCCTGTGAATACATTAAAGAGATGCTGTATACCCTGATCAGCTAACTTAAAGCGTGCAAGTCAGATAATTTGTCTTGATTCTTATGCGTTCCCTGGCTTCTCCACTGCCTGACTTCATTGCAGTTCCAACACAGATGGCCTGCTGTGTAACCACCAATTGTTCATTTTTTTACAAGACAATGCACTGCATTTCTAACCATTTGTTGGATTATTTTCAGGTGAACCATCTATTTCCTTTTGTTCTAAATTACAGTTCAGACTTGGAGTACTCTCATTCACCAAGTGGCCTTCAAGTTCAATATATCTAATACAATAATTACTGAAG